GCATACCGATTCAGTTAGGAGACATTAACACCATAGATAAATGAGAGTGCAGTTGATAGTGCAAAATGAATTTAATGGCATTTACCGTTTTAATGTAGTTTTATAATTTAGTTGGAAAGAAAGAAGGCACTTGTGTGCTCAAACAAATTTCTCGCTCGCTTTGGGTATAATATCTTATAGTGTATGCATTTCCCAGCTTAAAGCATGATATCTGTTAATTTACCATATATTTTGACTCTATCTATGATTTATATCCTTTATTTACCTTACATGGGGTCGCCCGCGTGGCGCAGTGGTTAGAGCGTCTGCTCTAGAGTCGCGGCGTAAGGAGTTGATCCCTACGTCGCGGGTTCGAATCCCACTGTGGGACGTGGAGACCGGTCCTTCGGATGAGACCGTATAAACCGAGGTCCCGTGTCGCAGTAGGTGCTGGCACGAAAAAGATCCCTCACTGCTCAATGGCCGTAAGTGCCGAGTATAGGACAAAATTTGCAGCTCTCCACCGGCAAGTGGTGGCGTCTCCATATGAGTGAAAAATTCTCGAGAGGGACGTTAAACAACATACAAACAAACAAACAAACCTTACATGGGTTTAAAACAGCACTATATTATTTGGAATCTCAGTTTTAAAAATTCACATTCAGAAGTCCACGTTGCAGGGGTGTTTAAATATATCTGTCACAAAGCATGAAAGTGCCCCAAAAAATCTGAAAAAAAATCCTGAGGGAGGGTCAAATTTTATCTTTTATCTACATCATTTTAAAAAGAAAATAATACGTATGTATAAAAATGAAATAACATATATACATCTGGGGCGTGCTGTTCTAGCAATAATGCAACATGGACCTACATTTCTACTTGTCTGACATATCATTCATACAAGCAAAAATAATATCAAGTACAGAACACAGGGAGTGATAAAGGAGGAGGAATTCGACACATGCATCCCTCTTTTATCCTAGCAGTCATCGATGGATCGTGTCGAAATAACCTGCTCCCCTATATTTTGAAAATCAATTAAATGTGTTTAATTTGTGATTGCATTAAATGATATTTACTTACATTTACTTACTCAGGGATTTACTCAAATACTTTGTCTAAATTGACCACTAATCAAAATAATGTACAGGCATATTCATGAAGTTGATTCTTAGTCCAAAAATGTTGTTGGTCAGGATATTAATTGATTAATACTTGCTAGCACACCATATATTGGAGATTTTTGGAGGTTTGAATGGGACAATGTAAAATAATGCTCAAAAAATAAAATAGAGTCAAGTATTCTGAAATATTTGTGTTAAATTTAGACAATTTCAGAATGAAAATACATAATTTAACATAATCATAGCTTTTATGTTCAAATAAATACTAATGGTGTTTTTATTTTCATTTTCAAAAATAAATTTCAAATTATTTTTTCCATTTGCAAAAATAAGGACAACAAAATTGTATATAATGGATCTTTTTTTATATACGCATAAATTCATTCTTACGCGTCCAGTCATGATTATCGAAAGAGACTGAACTTTTGCATAAAGAATATGAAGGCCACTAGATAACATAACATCAGTTGTTTCCTAATTAAAATATTCAATATTGAAACAGATTATAAAACAATTAATATTTAAAAAACGGGTTAAAAAATCTTCTTCACTCAGTCCCATGGTTGATCAAAAAGTAGTAATTTACAGCTGCATACTGATACACATCTGTCAATCTGATACACAACAGCTGTATTTCATTTTCTACTATTTAACATTTCCTCCTGATAAACTAAAAACTAGGATTTCTGATTTCATAGACAACTACTTCTTCTACAACAATGGAACCGGGAAATTTCCATAATTTACAAAATTACTTTGTTAAAAACATACACATAATTACACTGATGTTTGTATTGAAAGGATGTTGATGTTGGAGTTACTCATTGCCAACATCTGTGTAATCTTCCAACGATTTGTTGGAATCCCGATGGGCAAAAATTGTGTTTTTATTAGCAAAATTGTTTTTATATTCCTATGAAGCAGAATTTATTTAAAAACCTTGGCACAAGTGGAAGAAGAATTTACTATTGACTTCAACTTGATATCCATGACGCATAGTTACATGTACTTCCATTGATATGTCGACTCGATATATTCCAGGGAAACTCGGGAATGAAGCTTGAGTGACTGAGTGCCCCAGAAAGTATTTAGTAATATCCCAGTATCACCTGCACCTGGAGTTTATCTATCCGATACCCAAGAGCATGCTCTGAGTACGATCAATTTTTAAACCGATGCAGACTACGGAAAAATAAGTTGATGTTACAGGGATTTAAACAACCCCATTTCAAGACAGCATTTCGTAAATTATAAGGTCGTTATGATGACTTTGTTAGCAAATATAACCTAACATTGGGTCGTATTTTGACTCACAAATTTCATACATGTACCACTTGTTAAGCCCGTTTCTATATTAAATGTGATTACGGATTACTCCATCCACCTGATCAACACACAGGGCGCTTTTGACCGGTCGGCAGGGGATGCCTATTCCTCCTAGGCATCTGATCCCAACTTTAGAATATCCAGGGGTCCGAGTTTTTTGCCATGTTCACTGATATATATTGTTTGTAGGTTTTTTTTCCAGATCGAACACTGTTCGTTATCAGCATCCGTTTCATGCACTTATACTTTATACTTAATATCTCGTTTTCTTTTTGATACCAATTTTCTTTTTTAAAAATTCTTTTATTATCAATTTCTTAGAACTTTTATTTTCCTATTCTCATCATGTTCCACTTTCTAAAAATAACATTTTGGCTAGATCTAAAATCATATCAAACATGATTGTACTGGGTATTTAAAACATTAAAAGTTATACTCGTCTCGAAAGTCTGAATTTCAAAGAATTTTTGAAGTTATCAAAGTTCACCATCTGTAAGTCTCCAAATAGATTATCCTGAGTATGTATCGTTTTTTGAACCATCTCGGTTTTGATTTCCAAAATTCAAAGATTACGGATGAGGACATTTTGTTGATAGTAGATTTGTCGATGTCAATCTCAAATCAGGCAAAGCGCTGAATTTATTGTCTTTGCAAGAAACCCTTTGTTGTCAAACAAAAAGACTGGGGGGGGGGGTGTAAATGCATGAAAAATTAAATTCTGTTTAATTGATTATTTATTTAATTGAATAGCTTCTTTATTGAAAAACATTCGTTATTCATTGAAAATGGAATAAGACTTGTAGCGTAATATGTATTGAAGTTGTAAGAACATAATATTCTCAAGATATGAGAAAAAATCAAGTTACGCTGTGAATATTTCTAATGTCAGAATTAGTTCTCAATTATTTTAGTGCTTTGAGAAAAAAATATGTTTTAAACAATCATCCTTGATTAAAGAACGGTCTTGATACTTTAGAAAGAAAGGGTTGGAAAAAATATAGTGTTTTACTTCATTTTTACAAAAGCGTATCTGCAAAGTAATTTTATCCTCATATGGAATTTAAAAAAGGCAGTTTTATTTATTTTTTTTGAGGGGGGGGGGGCATTCACTATGGCTCTCCAATCTATGGGATTCAAGTACTAGTCATTTACAATTCAGACAGTATTTTTGCATAACTAACGTAGGAATACGAAGAATGCCAACATGTAGTACTATCTTATACTAGTAATGCCTACGTAAACACATCAACTTTAAAGTCATAAAATATACTTAATACGAGGCCAGGATCATACAGCTTTTCATTCAATCGAGAACAATGACTTTTATTTTTTTTACAGAGCAGCTACCAATACACCCGAAAAACTTAGGTTACATGATGATATAATATTCCTACAATCCGCAGCATCCAGGATTTTTCGGCGATTCAATTCAGACATGTTAGCTGTTGTACGTTTCTCTTTGCGAATGAGTAGCTTTGACGTGTTTTGGATAGTTTCTGCGTATAGATTATGCACATGTACATAAATATCATTAATCTATTTTGAGAAAAGCATTTCAACAATAATGAAGATCAACTATACAGAAATATGGAATTGAATTTTTCACAATATATGCATCTTTTGCCATTATACTAGTAAGTAGCGTATATTCAAGATCAATTAAAATTTATACTAATAATACAAAAGCTATTATAAGGATGTGATTCTCAGTCTTTTTTAATTCCTAAACTTTATTTAAAAAATATCTACGAAAACCGTCTGTAAAATTGTTGCCAATATTTTGTGCGTGTTTAAAATGAATCTCTGTTTATTATAATGTGTATAGAAAAATGAATCTTCTCGATGTCAGAAAAAATATGGAAATAATGCATATGTACTGATTTTATCACCCTACTCCTCATGTAAAATCGTATGGCGAAAAAAAAAATGGCTCAACGAGTCCTAACCAAAGTTCTTACTTATGAATTATCTTCACAAACATGCATAAAAGGGAGCAAAATCCTGATCTTAAAGTTTAATTACAAGGTCGACATTTCTGACACCTGTGCATTTTATATGAAAAGTCAATAGTGTTTGGCCTCACCTATGGCACACCTTGGGAAAAAAATTAATGTGCAGTTAATTTCTACATATCTTAACATTTATGAAAGGTTCTTCATTCAATTACTCATTAACCTGGGCATATAAAAGCAGACATACTTCTTGAACACATCAGCCTTCATTCAGCAGCAATAAGGTATGTTCAATTTCTTCAGGGTTACCCATGTTCTTTTTATTAACTTAAAACGTTCGCAGATCACATATCTAACGTAATAAAAGTTAAGAATTACCTATGTTTATCTATATTGGTCTACATTCAATGTGTTATACTTACGATTAAACCTAGATTGAAAGTACTTATAGTTTTTTTTTAATAAAAAAACTTTTGTGTATGAACAATAAAATGAACATAACGTGTACAATTTAAAAAAAATGTTATTTCATCTTTGCTGCACTTATTACCTCTCAATTTCATATTTAAATAATGTAAAGTACGTAGTCTATTTCATTATTTCATTTTAAGGTTCAGTGAATTACCACAAACTACAATGAACTTCGTTCAGCTTTTGTTGCTTCTTGTTTTGGTAATACTGACCGTCTACGTAATGGGATCAGTTGCCTCGCCCTGGAGATGGCACAGAAGATGGTCTGATTCACACAGTGGCGGTTGGAGCTGGAGTCGTTGATATCAAGGTACATTAGCAAAAGTCGATTTCAGTATTACATTTCCTATTTGATTTACCAAATATGTGACAAATTATAATATATTTTCATCACCTTATTTGGTGAACAAAGACATGCTAAGAATCTTGAATAAATGATATATTAAAAAAATTAAGTTAAAATCAAACTCTTTTTCTTCGAAAATGATTGTATTGCAAAACTAATTCCTTATAAAAGAACTGGGATCTGATTTAACAATTTATGTCCTTTCATTTTTTCAGATGATCCCACCACAAAGAAATTCATTTCAATGCTATATATTTTTTGAAAACTGTAAATAAGTATCTATTTGGTTACGAAAATTGAATGAAAATATAATTACTGGAACAAAATGTTATGTTATTTTGCATTTGCGTTCTACATATCTGACTTTAATAAAAATGGACAGAAGTTGATGCACCTTGTTTTCTTTCTTTCTTTTTTTTTTGTCTTTAATACCTTATCAGAAACTTCAGGAGTACTTTGCAACAATATATTTGAGAAGTGGTGTAAATCAAATGTGAATACATAAAATTCCAAGAAACTTTTGGAAAATTTGAAATCACAAAATTTTACCAAAAGCAATAATGTAAGAACTTACATCTTTTCAACTCTGTATACAACCATTCTCCACGATTAATCTAAGAATAGGCTTTATGACATCATTGACGGCTGCTTTTTCAATAAAAATGGAACTCGTAAATTTACGTACCCTGTCATTGGTCATTTGCAAAATTATTTTGTTAAAAAACAATCTGATTGTACACACATATACTCTGAAGTTGAAAGTAAAAAGATGCTTCAGTTTCTAATTGACAATATGTGGTGCTAGGAGACCAGGACCGGTGTTCATAAAACTTTTTAGTATATTCTTAAGTTAAAAAAATCACTTATGTCTTATATTTATTTTACTTAAGTTCCATAAGTATTACTTAAATTTGGCAGAAATGATTAAGTGTAATTCATAAACATATCTAGTGCTTAAGTATTGACTTAAAGTTAAATGTCCTCAAGAGGTGTCTGAAGTAGATAAGAAATACTTAAGTTTTCTTTATCAAAATAAAAATAATGTTGTACAGAAGAAATTTTAATTTTTCATTAAGAAACCATACTATATCATCTAACTAGAAACTCTTTTTGACTATGAGATATTTATCAACTAGTAAATTCAATGCTGATGACATGGCTGATATAACATTCATGGACCTAAATACCTCCATCACAAAAGAGTGCGCTTTTCGTTTGAGAAATTGTATGCGTTGCTAGGGTGACGTAACTTAAGTGCTCTAATTTTCTCAAAATAAATATTAGCTAAGAATTGCACTCAGAATTTATATCAATATGGCTTAAGAATTTTTTCTTATCTAAGAATTTATTATATACTTAAGTGTGAATCTTAGCACAAAGCTTAAGTATGTTCATGGATCCCAGCCCAGGTCTTCCAACAATCTGTTGGAATTCGCATGGGTACCAATGGTGTCCCGTTGTTAACAGACCTATTTTTTTATTCATATGAAGCAGAATTTATTGAAAATCTTATACATGAGAAAAAGAACTCTCTTGCTGTGGCCCTCAACTCCACATTTAGATATATCGATGATGTATTATCAATTAACAATTATAGTTATTTCCATTCATACGTATGTCGACATGATATATCCCAGTGAGCTTGAAAACAAAAGATACCACAGAGTCTGACACATCTGTCTCATATTTAGATATTTTACTAGAAAAAGACTTTAATGGTAATCTTACACCAAAGCTTTAAGATAAACGTGATGACTTTTACCTTTCAATCGTCAACATCCCTTACTTATGCAGCAATATACCCTTATCACTTGCATATTGGTTGATTCGATACGCAGGAGCATGCTCTGCGTATAAACAGTTTCTAAAATGAGGTAAGTTATTGACAAACAAGTTGATGAAACAAGAATATCAGCAGTGTCGTTTAAAATCATCATTTCGTAAGTTCTATAGTCGATACAATAACCTTGCCAGCAAATACAATCTATCATTAAGTCATTCATACTAATTGTTAGGCCATTATTCACACACTGAATTGTAGACGGATTTTTCTGGTATATTCCCGATCATAACAAGGAGCACACGGCAGGTGTGAGGATGCTCACTCCTCCATGGCATCTGATCCCACCTCTTATGTTTTAGGAGGCCAGTGTTTGCCCTTCTCCGGGATTGTATTGTTTTAATGGACTTTGAGCTTGAATACCGTTCGTTTTCTCCATATTTCATCAGATTTATTTTGTAGTAAAAAGAAAACAATTAATTCATTGTCAATGAAAATTAGAATTCTAGAAAACAAAAAGCATCAAACTAATAGCCAATCACTTAGTAAAATAAGATAAGATAAGGTGGGGAACTTGTGGGGGAACTAGGCATGCTTTTCCTTATGGTTGCAATGACAATATCGGTAGTGTTCGGAATCTTTCAACTCCATGATGTAGCAATGTGAATGTGTTAGAAGACTTTTACAATCCACAAAGACGTAAACTTATTCATTCTTACAATAAACCCATTATACACAATTTCTCTTTTGATTCACTACTACCTTATGTAAATAAACAATTAGGTCTTCATGAATTAAATCCTCGTTCGTGCTCATGTCCCTCTTCACCCTACAACTAAAGTCCTGTTGGACAGGTCATTACTAGTTAATAATGAGGGCCTTAAATCACATATTTTAAAGGGGATCAAAATTTATGGGGAAAATTTGCATCAAAATATTATGAATTATGTCTAAGATAAGGCCAGGCGATGAACCAAACATGAAAAAGATCTTGACACGTTGTCAGTTTAAAAGTATCAGATGGATGTTGCAATCTTGCATTAAACGGTTGGGGAGCAATATGAAATCCATCTTTCCTTCTCTCTTGAATAATTCAGAAGTGAAAAAAGAATGTTATATTACACGGTCAATATGGACTGGTTCTAACTGACAAAGCAGGTAACAAAATTGTCTTTGTTTGGAAGGTTCATTATTATAATTGTATTTTAGTGGAGCATGGATTTAATTCTTTAGTGCAATACAACTTTTGCTTATAGTTCTCCTTCTTAGGGGGATTTCATCAAAATCATAAGTCACTTTTAAATATTTTTAATATTTCCAACAATCAAATTAAATTTGAATAACCATACCTATACTGGATTCCTATACTTTATAAAATTCATTAGAAACAAAGACACATAACGGGTTCTATAAATTTTCAACACTATATACAGCCTTTTCCCGCGATGAATTAAAGTCCAGGCGTTTAGAAATCATAGACAGCTGTTTTTTTTTAAATAAAAATAGATCTCGTTAGATTACATACCTTACATTTGTCATTGGTCATCTGCAAAATTATTTTGTTTAAAACATTCTGATTGTACACACAAGTACTCTGAACTTGATATTTAAAAGATGCCTGAATTTCTGATTGATAATATCTATGTAGTTTTTAGAGTGAAAAAGATGAAGATAATGAAGAGTGATCGATCTTTAAAAAATTATAAACAATACAACTCTGTGAACAGTGCATAAACACAGACCCCTCGAAATTCTAGAGGTGGGACCAGGTACCTAGGAGGAGTAAGCATCCCCTGTTGACAGGTCACATCCGCTGTGAGCCCTATGTATTGATCAGGTAGACGGAACATGCCTCGATGTAAAAAAAAATGATCGTACTCATAGCATGCTCTTGAGTATCGAATAAACTGGGAGATGTAAACACCATATGCAGGTGATAGCGGGATATTACTACATAAATAAGGAAAGCTGACGATGGAAAAGCTGGTCATCTCGTTTGTCTTACAATTTAATTGTTAGTTGGCATTTATTATCTACAGTCAGTTAAACTTCCAAATACGAAACAGATGTGGCAGACTCTGTGGTGTATTTTTATTTCAAGTCCACTGGGTATATCGAGTCGACATGTGAATGGAAGTAACTATTGTTAATTGATAATACGTCGTCGGAATATCTTAATATTGAGTTGAAGCCCATAACAAGTGTTTTCTTCTTCTCATGTAGAAGTTTTTGAATAAATTATCTTCATATAAATATTAAAACAGGTCGGCTAATAAAAGAGCGCAATTAATGTCCATCGAAATTCCAACAGTTTGTTGGAAGACCTGGTCTTCGAAGACTACATAAATTTTGGCAATGAGAGAATCCAACATCCGCTGAGTATCAGCTTTAGAGTACTTGTGTGTAGAATCAGAGTGATTTTTAACAAAGTAATTTTGTTGAGGATCAATAATTAGGTACGAAAATTTCAATTTTTATTGAGGAAGCAGTTGTTTATGATATCTTAAAGCCTAATTTTTAATTTATCTTGAGGAATGTTTGCTTAAAGGGTAGAAAAATCGTACGCTTTTATGTTACTGACTTTTTTTTTTTTAAAATTGCGATTCTAAATTTTCTAAAAGTTCTTTAGAGTTTTTGAGAATCGACATCTGATTTACACCACTTGTAGAATATCCTGTAGCACAGCACATCTGAAGTTTCTCCTTTACAGTTGTTCATATTTATGTAAAAGTAAAGATATGGGTTTTGGTAGAGCATTGACTGAACCCTTCAATGTGTCTTTGTTTTTAAGAATTTTTATGAAGTTAAGGAATCCAAAATAGGTAGGGTAGATTGAACTCTCTTTGGTTGACAGGATTATTAAAAGTATTAAACACTGAAGTGTGATTTTGAAGAATTTCATCTTTAAAAAGTGAACTATGAGTATAAGTTTGATTTCCAGACGTAGAATTAAAACCAAGTTCTTCTGAAATACAATTATAATAATAAGCCTTACAAATAAAGACAAAATTGTTATAAGCCTTGTCTGCTGGAACCATAACATATCATTTATGTAGTCTTTTTAACTCTATTATCACCTCCGATTTAGTGAAAACGGAATGGTTGCTGGTTTGCATTTCGCCTTTTAAATTTCTTATACGATTCTTTAATATATATCTAAAACACTTAATCCATTCTGACAAAGTGTCCATATCTTTCTTTACATATTTAGCCAACGTCTGGCATAATCTTCGACGGGATTCATAAAAGAAATGAAGCTTTTTAGGCTACCTGTATTTAGGAACCTTTAAGATCATGATGTGTCTAGCAGCCCTGTAGTCGCAAGAAGAGCAAGAACAGCTAAGAAGATTTTGTTTTAGATGTTCAATATCTAGGCACAGTAAGGTTTGTTTATAATTGAAAAGTTCGGAAGCAACAGTTTGGAAATATATGTAGTAAATGCAGGGAATAGACTTCAACTTGAAAGATGGAATGCAAGAGTGAAATTTCAAATACGGCGATATGCATATTTCAACTGCTCTGTGACGTCATATGCAACAATTCAGGGATAGTAAGATAAGAATTTGTGCACTGTTAACGAAATTATCAACCACAAATGCTGCATAAAAT